GTATGTGGAAAATAATGTGTTTTTTGAACCTTAAACCACATAAACACATTTCATTACACCAAATACACAAAATAATGTTCTTTTTTAGCAACATCATATGACCCCTTTAACACAGTATTACAGTATTTGTGATGTTTTGCGTTTTTGTAGAACAATCTAAATTGTGTAATATAAACGTATTTATTTATTTATTCTTTAAAAAATATTTGATATGTATCTATAACTGAAATTGTGTAAAAGATTTATTATTATTATTATTATTAATAATTTTCATTTGAATTAATTTTAAGTTTTTATCACAAATAATTTGTTGCTTAATTTTGCATTCACAATTTCCTGTGGGACAAAACGGAAAGAATACATGCTCAACACACATAGAATAGGAAATAAATAAATAAATAAATAAATAAATACAACGCATTTAAGATAGCGTTTTTTTAAATGTAATATAAAGATGTAATATTAACAAAAACAAAACATTTATTTATTTACTTATTTATTTAGGTTGGTTATTTATTTATCTGAATGTTTTTCAATATTAAATCAACAGCTGAATAGTAATGCAAAAAAGTAAAACATTTTATATATTTGATATTTTGTGTTTTTAGTAAAACAACCAAAAAAGGTGTACTATAAATAAAACGTATTTATTTATTTTTATTTATCAATTTAATCTATTTTAATGTTTTTTGCTTTCTGACAATATTTGATATGTATCTCAATATTTATATCTGAAATGACAGGAAGGGTGTTTTTTTTATCACACTGTTGCTTAATTTCATATTCACAATTTCCTTTGGGACAAGAGAAAGAGAAAACAGTACATATTTATTTATTTGTTTGTTTGTTTATTTGTTTGTAAACAACAGCTGAATAGTAATGCAAAAAAGTAAAACATTTTATATATTTGATATTTTGTGTTTTTAGTAAAACAACCAAAAAAGGTGTACTATAAATAAAACGTATTTATTTATTTTTATTTATTAATTTAATTTATTTTAATGTTTTTTGCTTTCTAACAATATTTGATATGTATCTCAATATTTATATCTGAAATGACAGGAAGGGTGTTTTTTTGTCACACTGTTGCTTAATTTCATATTCACAATTTCCTGTGGGACAAGAGAAAGAGAAAACAGTAAATATTTATTTATTTGTTTGTTTGTTTATTTGTTTGTAAAACAGCCGAGAAAGGTGTCATATAAACAAATAATTTAAAGTTTCTTAATGTTTTTACCTTCTGACAACATGTGATATGCATCTCAGTAATCACAATGTTGCTTCATATTTAACTATCAGCAAAAACAAATATGTTGTGAATATTTAACATATTATTTAGTAGGGCTGGGCAATGTAAAAATGACTTTCTAAACTACAGATTTCAAAGCTTTTTTTTTTTTTTACTTTTTGCTTAGTTCTCCTCTGCGACAATCACCAGCCTCTATAGACTGTCTTCCCACTGCATTGCAGTGAGCTTATTTTATGGTGCCCATACAGTCAGTGTCAAGCTCACTTCAGCCATTAGCTGAAAGCCTGATGCACATAATCTTCAGTCTTTCTTGTCTCCATGCTTCCGGGCTGAAGGATGTGTTTGTTTGGTGTGGCTTGGGTGTGAAGAATAAATTTGCACTGAGCTTTAAATCGTGGCGTAGTCAGAAAAGCGTCAGGAAGGTTCTGACCGCAATCACACAGGAGGAATAATGAGTTTGATAGCCACGTCCAACCCTTTACCTCCACTAGGGAGACAAGCTGGAGACTTTATCTATTTAAAGCTGGTTTGTCACAAGGCGGTGCGGGAAAGAGAGAGATGGAAGAGAGAGGGAGGGAGGTGCTGCCGGGAGTTAAAGGTGTTTTGGGGATGATGCCGTCAGTGTTATCTCTCATTTTGCTGTGTCATAATAGACACTCACTCTGTCTGCTCAATCACGATGACATGAGTGCTGCATTCTTGGCAATCTTGATACATTTCCAATGCATATGTCTACTGCATGCTAATTTTTTGTACTTGTAGAATATCTAGATGACCTTTAATATTTACCAAAATGTGCAGTATAATGTACAATAGAGCACATTGTGTTGGGTACTGTATCCCACAATGCAATGTGCTTGACCTTTCCATTTTTATTGTATAGAGGATTTCAACTATGCAGCATTTTTTTTTTAATTTAGAAATTGTGAAAAAAAAAAAATATTTATTTATGTTGCTGCCTTCTGACAATATTGAAGATGTATCTCAATATTTATTTTAAAAATGGCACTTTTAATCACAATTTTTAAGACAATTCAGGCCTTTAAGACAATATTTTTATTATTTTGCATAATATTTTTGTTTGAATATATATCCCAATACTTATTTATTAAAATGGAATTTTTATCACAATATTTGTTATTGTTAAAACACAACTGACAATTGAACTGTAATGCAAAAAGATAATGTATTTAAGATAATATTTTTAATGTTATTCAAAACAAGAAAGGTATCATTTATATTTATGTTTAATTTTATACAAAATATTATGCAAAACACATTTGTAATATTATGCAAAACAACCTAGAATTGATTTATTTACCTTCTAACAGTATTTAATATGTATCTCATTGTGTATATGTGAATTGGTGTCTTTTTTATCACAGCATTAAGCATTGATTTTTTGCCATATTGATTTCATTTTAATGGTGTACTTTCATATATTTAATTCAACACGCTGGGTGTTTTGTGTTGTATTCATGGGATATAATTATGAGACTTACTTTTAATGTAATGTTGGTATGGAAATCATTACTTAATATTAAAATACCACATAAAGCTATTATATGTTATTTAAAAAATATATTTCATTATATTCAATCAGACATACAGTAGATGTTAATCTTCCTTATGACATCATAAAAAACTTAAAAGTCTTAATTTGTCTATAAGAACATCAGCTGTGGCTGTTGGGGGGCTGATATCAGATTTTTATAACTCAGTCTAATATAAATTACCAATAACCTGACACAGCGTTACTGATACAGATGAGTAAATCTGCCGTAAGCAGTTACTAGGGCTTAAAGAACTGTACGTGGCATTGAAATAATAGCGAAGTAGTGAAGATCTAAGATAAGATGTTTCCTTTCATATCCAAATGAAAGCGATTATGCGTCCAGACAGGGAGATTATCCGAGATCAGCACTTATTTTCTGAGATGCTTAGGTTGAAATGTTCCCGTGGCCGCATTAGCTCTGACCCTGGGTCAGCACTACTATGAGGTATTTGTGTCTCACCTCTTTGAGCGGGTCGTTGAGCTCGTTAAGGATGCTGTCCTCGTCGAAGATCTTTCCCTGGTAGCGATGTTCATAGTAATCGTGGATTTTCTGCCGCATGTCAGCTGGAAGCTTGTGGAAGGACATGTACTGCTCCACTTGCTTGTACTGTAAGAGAAAAAAAGTTTTGAGTAAAAAAAAAAAGCTGGAACTGATGCAAGTAAGCAAGACTCATAGGAAATAATATCACAGTTGGTTCTCCTAGATTGCAATTGAATTAAATGAAGGGCAAATGGAGACTTTTGCTTAAGGCGTGTCTTTTTCTGTCCTTTACTGTTGTTTCTTGTCAGATTGTACATTGTACATGTACAATTTTGAGCAGAATATGCAACATTAGCTGTATTTCATTGATTACATTTGACAGGACTGGGTGTTTTGACCTCAGTGACACAACATTGCACACCACGGGAGTTAGTCTCCTGCTTCTAAAAAAAAAAACACACAATTATTTATTTCAACAATTTTACCAATAAATGCAAAAACACTTTCTTTACAAATTACTTGCTGAAAATTCTGAAAATATAATTTTTTATTATTATTGTTTATTATTTTGATTCTAATAATACTACAATAATGTATAATAATGTATAATACAAATACAAATAATAATAATCATCATTATCATTTTTAAATTATTCAACAAGGACATATTAAATTGATCAAAAATGACAGTGATAAAAATATAATGAAATATATTAATGCAAAATATTTCTATTTTAAATAAATGCTGTTCTTTTAAAAAAATAAATGAAATTTTCCATTCATCAAATAATCCTGAAAATATGTATTACATAAATAAATAAATGGTTAATATATAAATAAATAATAAATAAATAAGTAGCACAACTGTTTTCAACATTGATAATAATAATAATAATAATAAATGTTTCTTGAACAGCAACATATTATAATAAAGGAATATCAGCATAATTAGAATGATTTCTGAAGGATCATGTGACACTGAAAACTTCTAATGATGCAGAAAAAAAAATCAGCTTTGAATCACAGGAATTTAATTTTAAAATACAGTATATTCAAATAGAAAATTATTTTCATTATTAATAATATTTACTATTTAATATTAGTATTTTCCTGCATATTTGATCAAATAAGTACAGCCTTTCTGAGCAAAAAAAAAAAAAAAAATTTTTTTTTTACTTTTGAAGGGTAGTGCAAGTGTGTTTAATGACAATGCAATTTAGAGTAGTTTGTGAACTAGAAATGGTTTAAATTTGTATATTGTTGTGCTCTTCAATTTCGCAATTAAAGTCTGCAATCAAAAGTCAGAGATTTTGATACTTACATTTCATCAAATGCATCCAGGACAAAATTATCTTTGCTATTATTGTCTCGGCTGTTTCTATTTTTACGTCCCCCAAGGAATTGCTCCTTAAATGAAACAAAACTCAGAACGTTTACCTGAGCTATGAAAGAGCAACCTTGAGCAATGAAATGCCCCTCTGTGTAGGCGTTTGATGAAATTATCTTTTTAATTCATGCAGGATTTAGTGATGAGTCTTTCAGATGAACCTTGTGTAACACACGCACACATCCACACGCACACAGGGAATTGTGCTGGGTCATTGTCTGTGGGCAGGTGGTGCGTGCGGATGAACACTTCCTGTCTGCCAACTCAGCTGATGACATCAGAGCAGGAATGTCTAATCCAGCACCTGCTCCCTGTTACCTATCTCTGGTTACACAAAAATTCAATTTCGTATGCTTTCTGTAGCTACACAGGCTGCCCACTCCATACCGTCACAGGAAATGATACCAAGACAGTCTATATCTGTCCCAGAGCAATCTATTTTAAACTTCTACATTGATTGACTTACATATCTATATCAGCTCTTCTGTTCATGATTAATCAATAAATGTTGTTAGATATATGAACTCTATTTCTGTACGAGCTGTTTTATCTATTCTCTATAAGTGTACTTTTTAGATTCATTAAAGAAACTGTTCCACAAATTCAAACTGGCTGTAGCATTTTTTTATTAATGTTGAAAACAGTTGTGCTGCCTAATATTTTTGTGAAATGTAAAAACAAATACATCACTGATGATGTGTCCCAGCGCATCTGCATGATGTATCTTTCACCTAATACAATATTAAATTAAAAATCAATATTTTTATTTTATATTAATATAATCTAAAATGAAATAATTATTTATAAGAAAATATACAATTTTAATTAATATTATTATAATTAAAACTGTATTATTATTATTATTATTACTTGATGACTAGAAAGTTTAAAAGAACAGCATTTGAAATAGAATTATTCTGTAACATTTTAAAGGACTTTACTGTTAATTCCCTTTTACACTTACATGTACTTTTAATTTTTACAGTATTAACAATATCTTAATTTTTTTATCAATTTAATGCATCCATGCTGAATAAAACTGTAAAATTATTTTTTAAAAAGTAAAAAAATAAATAAATCTTACAACTTTTGATAATAAACAATAGTAGTATATTTTCTCAACAAAAATAAATAAAAACAATTTTTAATCTCAATTTGGGTAAAAACATCTCCATGATCAAACTGCCAAAAGTTGATATTAAAAATCATTGATTTCAGTTCATTTATCACATTTAATATGGAAGGTTAGATTGAATGCATTGCATTGCAGGACAAATTAATAGTGCATGATCTTGACAAATGTAGTATTCCTTTCACAAATGTAAAACGTAAAAAATAAAACAGTGTTTTTCATTTTAGCCAATCATAACAATTAATTTTCTTCGAAATCTGAACAGCACAGTTGCAAAAACAACATGCTTATTCCTAAATTGGTAACCGTAAGTACTGTAAACATGTAGGATACAGCACTTTTAATGTTTATTTCCATAATCAGATTGTTTTACATGGAAGAAAGCATGTGTCTTATGTGATGGCAGTGAGTGGGAAATGCAGCAGCACAGAAACAGGACAGAACAGAAGACCGCGTGATCCTTTATCAGTGCGGGTGAAATGGCTTTAAATGACAATTCAAGCACCAAGCAATTAGACTAATGTTTCAAATCTCCCCGTCTCTCTCTGCTGCATCTGTGGCGGGGAGACGGCTAGACCCAAGGCTACTTACAGTCCCGACAGGAAGTCTTTATCCTTGTCTCTTAGACAGAGGCCTTGAGAATTTAAGAGCTGATGTCTTTAGGCTGTGGGACACTAAGATGGTACAGACTGCTTTAGCTTGACCATGCTGATTTTAGAATACGTCTCTTGAGGTATTACGAATCTGTATATCTGTCGGGTATACGAATCTGACATGGATCGATTGGTATTATCGATTGGTGTCTGATACTTAACTACAGTACCATAATTTGCATAATTCAGGCAATGGAATTGAATGCTAAAACAATGCAAATAAATGGTGCGGGCACAATTAATTCCTAGTGAATTCCCCATACTATGTTTCTAATCTGGACGAGTCAGAGAGAGTGCTGAATATTCATAATATGAGTAAGAGTGACCTGTGGTCAGTCAGTCAGTGGCGGTGCGAGTGCCATCAGCTTCTTGTAGAGATACAGTGAGTCATTGGGCATCAGGGCAAAAGCAAAGCTCTGATATGGACTTCCTTTCTGAGACACTGTCACTGTGTTTATTTTCAGACACATATAATCTAGACTAGTGTGCATGAGAAATCCTATGTAGTGTACATTTTTAAAGCTAGTTGAGAAGCTTGGACAGCAGCTTACCAGGAGGAAGACTCTTACATAGGGTGGCCATTTTTATAACACCAAAAAGGAGGACACTTTGTAGGATACAGTTGAAGATGGTATAAAAACTTAAATAATCCCAAACCTGTATAAGCAGTGACAGAAACGTTTCCAAAATTTTTCCATTAGGGGGCTGATATTAAAATCTATTTCCTGTGGCATTTTAACCTTTCTATAAAGTCAACTCTACTAACCCTTTTAAATGTATATGTCCCCTTACATTTATTTTTTTATTTTTTTAGTTACTCAATAAATGCAATTACAGTAGAAAGATAGGACTATTGCAGGGCTGTTACCAATCAAATGAAATCAGGCAAAATTTAGATTAGTATTTACAGAGACTGTTTACACCTAGATATATAATGTTATAATATTAATGTTAATAAAATCCAAAATATTTTGAATATACAAATATAAAATGTTGGAAAAATGATCCTTTAAATATAAAACCAAAACTGCCAGTAGGTGGCAACAAGTCACTCGCCGGGTTTCCATTAGAGATCTGCACAAAAGTTTTGGAATATTTTATAAATATCGATAAAAATGATAGATGTGTGGCTAAAAACATATTTTTTTCCTCTCGCGGTAAGTCATGGCCACGGATATTGGCAGGTTTATGTATGTTGCAGTCACAGCACTAGTCATAATTTTTTTAATCGAAAGAGATGTATGCATGTATCTTTAGTGAAGCAGCATGGAGAGTTGCTTCTGGGACGCTTCTAAAACGTGCCGCAACTGGTATAAACACAAGCAGTGAGCGGCCGCAATCGGCTCTGGGTGCCGAGTCGGAGTCGTAATGTGCCGCAGACGCGTGCCGTGTAAATAAGGGGTATATTATACCCCAAAATATTCCTTTTTTCGAATTGCCTGAAAAAACACCTCAAGCGAGCATAAAAACTTTTTTGCGATATCTGGGAGTTTTTGCAAAATATACGTAAACCTACCAACATCGGTTGCCATGACTTATCGCGAAAGGATAAAATGACGTTTTAGTAACAACATTGGTTAATGGAAACTGCGTCATTTTGCAATAGTTTTTAATCTACATTTTTATAAAATATCGCCTTGGCACATTTCAGAAGCGTCCCAGAAGTGGCTCTCCGTGCTGCTTCGCAAAAGATACACGCCTACATATCCTTTCATTGAAAATCATGCCTAGTGTGGTGGCTGCGATATACGTAAACCTACCAATAGTGTTGCTTTCGTCAACGAAAATTATGACTAAATATCGTCGTCAACGAACCTTTATCACGTGACGAAAACGAGACGAGGCAACGAAAATGCTGGTCATGTGACGATGACTTATAATTAAATGTATAATGCAATATTGTTGACGTGGGTTAAATAGAATTGCATTTCTAAAGAGAGACTAAAACACAATT